GAAAACGGCCTGTACAGTGGAAAAATTATCAGGGCAAGTGATTTTACATGTGTCACTGTACCGGAGTACACTAGCAATTCTAAAGTTATTTCCACCCCTGAATATATGACAAATATTCAACACACAAGAAAACGCATAGAATATCTTTGAGATGATTCCTTGTGTCTGTAGGCAGCACGTGCATTTCATGCCAGGTGAGTCAACGGTCCGTCGTCATACCTGGCTGAGCGACCTAACTCACAGTAGTACTGTCATCTATAGTCTGATCTATTGTTTTAAGCAGCTATTCTAAGTTTTGCCCGATTTGATGAGCAAACATGCCTTTCTGGACATCCTATTACACATCCCACTGAATGCCCAGTTAGGCTGAAGTGGGTTATTTCGACATATGCTATTTGCAATTGTGTAAATTTTAGGGATACACACTAACAGCCAAAAAATTGTTTCTGTTTCCTATAGTACTTTAGTCCATTGAATATGTTGGTACGTTACAATTACACAGGTTCATATATGTTACTGGGAATACGTGAAACCAGGGATTTCAGGTAATCCCTAAAAGAGTCAGTGATTTCGTGAAATCACTGTGACCCCCAGGGATTTCATGTATTCCCTGAAAATTCAAGGGATTTCATTAAATTACTGATTGTCATGGTGTTCCATTAAAGGCATTCTGTGATAGGAGTAAATGTGTGAAATTAATGTAGCTTAAATGGACACTGATCCAAAGCCATTCCCTGGGAGTGGTTGTTGCTTTTGTTATTGTTTTCCCTGCAACTGCCCAGATGATATCCCAGAATTCTTGATTGGGTTGAATCTCTGTTGCGCAACCCGCAAGTGCAATTGACAGTATAAGTATAATCAGTGTGTTATCGGTTAATCCTTTGAACAATTTTTTCAAACCCAGCTGAGGATTCCTCTTGCTGCACTTCCAAGCGCATATTACATAACATGTAATACATTTGTCACATCAGACCTTAATTTATAATATTGAGTACTTACTCCAGACATGAGAAATGCCAAACATGGCCAGAGAAAGAGGTGACCGTAGGGACATTTTTGGTATAGTTATGCATCATGATCAAGCTAATGACAATTATCGAAAGGCGTGAAATCCGGTATCCTCAAACGTTTTGTTCACTCTCTACGAATGATGTGACCATGGATAAAGAAATATCTCTCCGGACGTGTGTCATTTCCGAGTCGAATTGTGGTAAGGGTTTCCAGAAATATAACCAGAGACCTAACAGTGTAAATCGAGACATTGTAAATGTTTTAAAATGGGACTGAAGTGTAATAGCCAGTGTCATAACAGTCTATCTTGTCCAAATAAATGAATTGTATCAGTATATACTCTGTATTCGCATCATACATTTGGTATTCTCCATTTCAATAAAGGCTGCCAGGGGATTCATGAAATCCCTGAGCCAATATTTCTGTAATTTAATGAAATCCCTTGATATCTTAGGGGATACATTAAATCCCTGGGGGTCACAGAGATTTCACGAAATCACTGACTCTTTTAGGGATTACATGAAATCCCTCGTTTCACACATTCCCTGTAACATATATGAAGCAAATTTGGTAAAAACATGCCCATACAAACATTGATAAAATATCCAAATGCCTTTTTGCCTGAACAAATCACTGTTCATTCTACATGTGCAAGGCACACTGATAATGCAGGTATTTTTGTAGCAATGTACGTGTACTCAAGGCACACCTGGTTCACATGCCTGAGGTCAGACTTAACAGACTGAAGAACAAAAGGCTCGGTTTCAGTTGATTTTCAGCCTGAAGGAAGAATTTATACCATTATCTCTGAATATAATGTTTTCAACTTCCATCTACATGTTTGAACCCTGCTTATTTATAACTGGTCCCTAGAACTCTCTGATGTGATGTCCCACTTTCACCTCTAGTCACATATGCCGGTGATAAAGTCTGTTAACCAATACCACCATTGAATCTGGACAAGACACAGTAAAGTGACTGATACCGAGAGCATAGGTCTATACAGTTGGGATATTAGGCTGACTGACTGACTGAGTTTACGTTTACGCCGCTTTTACCAATATCACGGCGGGGGACACCAGAAATGGGCTTCACACATTGTGCCCATGGGGACGAACCGGGTCTCGATGACGATACCCCACCGCCCCTGGGATATTAGGACATGCATCAACATGATCAACCACGTTTACAAGCATGACCACCCAATTCTTTCAGTCACCTCTTGAGACAAGTACGGGTTGCTTGAGACTGAATACCAACTGGATCTTTACAGTGTGCAGGCAATAAAGAACAGGACAAGTTATTTGCAAATCAGTTTGCAAAACCGAATGCCATTTCCCAAAATTCCCAACAATAAAAGCATCAATACCTCTGGTTAAGTCATTAGATGTATAGAAATGAGACCCATGGAATCTTTTCTGTGGACTTTGTGAACATGAACTCAAACAAGATCACTTTCTTGCACACAAAACTCGGGCGTCGGGCAATGGGTTATTTCCACCCTGAAACAAAATCACTTTCTACACACAAAAAAGTACATCAGCAACTATCAATGATTATTGTCATCATTTCCCATTTTTTTACAACAGTTTGCCTAAAAAGCAATCATTCACCAAAATACAACTTTCATAATGTACAGGATGTCTAAGCTGTCATGTTCACAAATTCACTAATGTTTATGCAATGTTAGAAACCCATTTGAACAGGACGACCTGGTTAAAAAAAATCTTTAAAATAAGATAACCTCCTTTCTACAATATTATCAGCATTGAATTTAAAAATATACTGATACACACCAACACGACCAATGGAAATATCAACACAGTTAAGAGACAGAGCATCAACAGACATGATAGAGAATATTGCATAGCGTGGAAGAAAAGAAATATGCTTAGTAATCATTAACAGTGTAGATGTGTCTTTACTGCTTTCAACATAACACCATTATGGGCAACAGCTGCTTGATTATGGCCACATAGAGCATGATAAGATCGTGAAGATATTAACTGTTATTCTCCATAATAGAGAAATGCATGCTGATGATTGTTTATTTGGTCTTTGAAACATAACAAATACATATTTTGCCATACAGTAGTTGGCCATAAGTGAGTCATCATTAGTGAAATTCCCATAGACTTGCATGTTAATTAACTCTTGCAAGACATTTTTTCATAAATTTAGTTTCGGTTCGAATTGATTTCAATACCTATCTACCAGCTGGGAAATCATCTCAGCTACATACACATAATTTCCATTCAATTTTCCGATGATTATTGAGAAAACTGCAACTACTAAAACAACATATATTAGACATACCAATCTTGTTTAACATGGTTTTCTGTGGGATAGAATAAAATTAAGTTGTACTAATGGTGCCTAATCAGGTGTCTTTTGATAACTGATCATGCTGATCAATGGAAAGATGAAAGAAAATTATGTACACGTAGCTGAAGATGATTTCCAAGATGCTTGCAAAATATCAAAATAAAATGACTTCTACTCAATTTATGAAAATTATTCTTGCAACAGTTAATTAACATGTAAGTCTCTGGAAATTTCACAAATCTTGACTCACTTATGGCCAACTACTGTATGTATATTTGCACTCATTGTTAATCATGCTAATAAAGAGAATAGGGTAAGAGGATGCATGCCTGGGTCACATGGGATATCACATATTAATGGAATATCATCTTTTGATAATGACGAAGGATGTGGAGTCATCCTACAGCTGCCGTCCTTAGCTCAGGTTAAAAAAATTATAGTTAACTTCTTTGGACATCTCAGATAGCATTCGGATGTTGGCCCAATGTTGGCAAAACCATTGCCAACGTTGGGCAAACATCTGAATGCTATCTGGGATGTGGACAAGGCGTCCCACTTCAGAAAGAAAAAGTCTCAGGCTCAAATCCCATCAAAGGAATCTGACATTAAATTTATTGTTGAGCATTTGAATAAGTCAGTTGTCTAAATATGCCAATATTTTTGTCTTTTTGATATAAGGCATATCCATTTAAGGTTAGCATAGATGATCAAACAGAGTTAGACTAGTCTAACATGTAAGACACATTCTGATAAGCTTGATAAAAACAGAAGAGTCAAACAAAGGTGAAGTTAATGGTGCAGTTGTTTTATGATTTTGAAAACTAAGGTCAGTGCCAAACATTTGAGTAGACTTTTAGTAAATAGACTATATGCTAGCTTGTATTCTAACATGTCATTCAATGTACCGCTACGCAATCAAACGTCTGCTGCACATTTTCAAATATTCAGGCATTGTCAGACTTTGAACAGTGCTGCAGGTTGCAGATTGCAATTATTCACAGATGTCTAAGAGGAATAAGTATAGACAAGAAAGATGCAGTTAAATTTTAGCATTCAAATTATATAAGCTACGATGCACACTACACTCGTTCAAATGATCACTAAGCATATTATTGTTTTCAACATTCAGCTAAGAAAAGCAAAGAAAATACCTTTTCATAGTCTAAATATGACAACCATTAATTGTTCATCAGCTTGAATTCCTGCAGAGAAATGCACACGCCTGTTGGCAAGGGTTTGTTGTAACACCAAATGGGCAATAATAGATGACCCGCACGTAGACAGTAAACAGGTGAAAGGCAATGTTCGTCTGTGTCAACTAGCATAAAAGCATTACAGAAAGCATCTGCTCAGTTAGCAGAATAGGTGTTTCGTTACCAGGTGTATGTATTGATTTCCTCACAATGGCATGAACAGACGTGCTTTTCTAGAATTCCTACATCTTAACAGAGAGTTCTTCCCGTTATCTATTGTTTGCCGTCACTGGCTTATCTTACAGTGACAAGTGTCATTTTCCCATTTGCTTATGAGGTACTGTGCACAGAACCGTGTCTTTTTGCATAATGAGCTACGTCAGTGTAAATAATCAGTGCATAGCCCATTCTTTATTTGCACAGAAACAAATTTTGTTGGATTACAATGTTATTGCTCGTTATAGTTCTTACCGTACGATGTGGCGAATTTGGCCGGAACAGCGGTGCGCCCTCTCTGATTTTGGTGACAGTTGAGAGTTATCTTCTCTTGATGAGGCCCACAATGAACCCCTCACACTCTCGAAATTGAATTTAATCTTATTCTCCAATCCTATCCTACATCAGTGTCTTTGACAAGTCCTAGATGAAGATTACACAGCTGTGTCTCATATGTGCAACGAGATATCGATTTCTAATCACTGGTGGTGTAACAGCATTTGCACATACTGTAGATGTGAATAGCAGATAATCAGAGCCCTTGCAGGACTCGAACCTGTATACATATGATCACATTGGACAGAATATCAAGATTAGGAAGATATGGGGGAGTTTCATTAATTTTCATTATTTTCACCTTCTTAAAAGTAGTAAGTTGATATATATTTTTTTAAAATATGAATGCTTTAATTGGGACGTTTTTTGTGAAACTTGAGAACGCCCTAATTCATATGTTAATATCATTTTCATTCTTGACATTGCCTCTCGAGTCAGAGTCTTGAGCTGTCCCCCGAACATTTAAACAGGTCTAGAGGAACCATCAAACATCTAAGCAATGTCATAAATTAACGATCGTATTCTAAATGTAAAGAGGAAACATACAAAATAGTTCAAATTTCCGTAAGAGAAATAGTATATGGCAGTAGAAAACAGATTGACAGTACAAGGCTGATCGAAAGGACGCACCCTTACAGTGATACGAAAATATAACGAATCGTTCATAATTTATGGCTTGGAGAGGGTGTGTGTGTTAAATAATACAAATAATAATGTGAATTAAGATACAAAACGACTTAGTCCAGTAAACAGTAAACATAAATGATAATCGTGAGAAATGTTTATAAATATTGCCAATTATGCTTGCTGCAAAAAAACTGTCAGATTTAACCAGCTGTGTGTATCAGCGTTAATGTATAATGACTGACTGACTGAGTTTTGGTTTTACGCCGCTTTTAGCAATATTCCAGCAACATCACGGCGGGGACACCAGAAATGGGCTTCACACATTGTACCCATGTGGGGCTTCGAACCCGGGTCTTCGGCGTGACGAGCCAACGCTTTAACCACTAGGCTACCCCACCGCCCTTAATGTTTAATGAATAGAATTAGAAACTTGAAGAGCACATTATTGTTAGTAATTGTGAAGGGATAAATTTTTTAGCTTTTAGTTTCTTGTTGTTAAACACACAGCAATGACGCATATTCTGGTTTAAAATGGTCTTGGCGACCGACGTGAAAACTTGGGTGAAAAACCCTGAAACACAAACAATGCAATCACTCATGTACAGACAATGAACAAGAAAAAGCATTAAAATCGCAATTTTATTCCTAAAGAGATTGTGCTCACAGATTATAGTGCGCCATGGGTAGACGTAATGCTGGATAATCCGTCAATGCAGCCACTGTACAAGGTCTGGGCTCATGTCATCAGGCAATACATAGCCTGGCTAGCTATTCTCGAAACATTCGTAGCCCTACGAACTTCTTAAGCCCATTCTTAACATTCTCAAATTCTTTTTTAACGTAGCCAATGTGTTAGAATGGAATGGATCATTCGAGAATAGCTAGCCTGAATTTCGAATAATTCTTAACATGCGCAATAGACGGGCACCTTTCCTATAAGAATGGGCTTAGAACAGGGGCGGCTCAGGAATAGCATTTTGGATATATGGCCTGGACAGGGCGGCTCCAGGATTTTGGAGAATTGTTATTATTATTATTGTTGGGGGGTTGTTGTTGTTGTTTTATTCATCATGAAGTCCAAAGGTAGGGAGAAATGCTCTTCAGGGATTATTTCGGGGGATGCGCCCCACCCCATGTGGAGTCAACCCAAGTATCAGGGTACCATTTGTCATTTCACGCAAGCTTCACGTCAGGCATCATGTGGGGTGGCGGACTTAAAATCTCCAAACCAACATCATCACCATCGTCATTTTCTACTTCTACTTCTTCTTCATCATCATCATCATCACCATCACGGAAGCCTCTTTATGCTGCAGGGGCGGTGGGGAAAACGTCAGCTCGTCACGCTAAAGAATTTCTTGATCAATAAGGGCTATCCGCGGAAACGTAATCAGGAACAATATTACACACATATCTCGTAGCGTTATCGTAGACCATTCTATGAAAATGTTTCAGTTTCTGTACACGTCTCCTTTCATTCAGAGGTATAAACTTAGTTTAGTGTAAATATATTGAACAAAGATCGGTAAACAAGCCGAAATGGCTTATTTGAATACCTCTCCGTTACATTAATACATGAATACAACAAATATTAAATAATATGCAGCATGATAGGAAAGCAAGCAACCTGCGTACTGAACATCTTTAATCATTTATCAAACCTATGCAAATTTATTATAAAAGTAGGGACAGATTTTAGTATAAAAGAATTTATAAGTTTACTTTTGTTTGCATTTCCATTTAAGACAAAACTTAAATTATATCCCTGTGCATAAAAAATACATGTGATATCTGATGTTGGAATAATTAGGACAAGTAAAGAAGTAATGAAAAGTATCCTCAAAGGTGACCACAGGAGCAGAATGGATCAACTGAAATGTGCCGTTCAAACGTGTGCATGCAAATCACTGCACCCAAGTCTGGGGCGTGAGCGGATAATTTGGCAGAAAAGTGTACCAATGTTTTTATCAAATATATTCAAATTAAGTGGTATTGATGATTGTAAAACATTTTTGAACTGGACTATAGTTTCAATATCATACATATTCTCAGGCAAACCATTCCATTGTCTTATTGTATCCGGTAAAAACGAATTGCTAAACAAATCACTACGACATCTTATAGTTTGAATGTTATTACTGTTTCTTAATCTATGTTCACTTAACTGTCATACTATTTCAGGTAGTAGATCAGTTAGATAAACTGGTGTCATATGATGATCCATTTTGTAAAATAATGATAATTTGCTCATTTGTGTACGGTCAGCTAGGGGCATGGAGTTGGTTTCCTTACAAATTAAATCATGACTTGTTCCTCTAACTGCCCCGCAAATCGTCCGCAGAGCATCTAAATGTAGATTTTCAACATTTTTGTTTTGTTCTTTAGTACAATCATCCCAAAGGTGAGAACAATAAGCAAACATTGGTAATATATATGAATTGTACATTTGCTCTAATGATTTTCTAGATAATCTATAATTATTTAAAACTTGGTCTAATGTACGCAATATAAAATCATACAAGTATGTCAGTTGATAAACTGTACCACCCCCAGGCATGAATCCTGAATGCAAATTGGTCAATATGTTAGTATCTATAAAAAAGTTAAACACATGTTTAAAAACACATTTTTAAAATACCTTTGATAAGCAGCTGGTAAAAGCTAATGGTCTGTAATTTTTACATTCATTAAAACTACCCTTTTTTGAGTAGGAATAACAGTAGCTTCCTCCCGCATTTTTGGAAATGTACAATATTCTAATGATAAATTGAATAGATTAGAAAGGGGAATAAAAAGGGATGGAACAATCATCTTGATAAATCTGTTACCTATTTTGTCTGGTCCACTGGCTTTGGAAATATCAACTGATAATAGGATATCTCCTACGTCTTGCATAGTCAGTACAATAGACTCAAGTAAATTCTCTACTTTACATTCAAGTGTAGGAGCCTCCTTATCAGGATAATCAACTTGTGCGTGATTAACAAAATAATCATTTAAAGGTCACATGCAACCAAAAAATCAAACATAATTAAAACACAATTATCACTTATTCATGACATATAATATACATTGCTGGTTATGAAAAAACATATAAACAAAATTATAAGCGTACAATCGCAAATCAAAAGTGCAATATTGTGTACTTGGGTTTACTTCCCAAGAAACGAAGCAGCCGGGATACCGAACCCAGTCAGAGCGGGTGGATGTGCACTCAAGTGTAACGGCTAGTTCATTTGCAGATGCCCTCACGGCTCATTGTGTGTGTATATATAGAGATGTTGGGTTTTGTAAATACATGCTCATTTTTTGTGTATAACATTTTGCAATCAACAGACATCATAACATGTCATGTGTTCAAGTATCACACCTGCCTGTCTGTGTAATTACATAATGTGACAGAGACCGAACTCGGGCCATAAATCAATGCGTTTTGTTTATGGTGTATAGCCTGATTGGTGTTAAGTTCAAATTGCATGTGGTCAGTGATAGCAGTTGTGTATTGAATATTGTCATTAGCAGACAGGCAGGCAGACACACAGGTGTCAATAAAACAAGACATTGAGTTTTGTCTGTGACAACGACATATCTATATCACAGTTAGAAATTCTGTCAATGCTAAATAATGACATTGCTTTTAAGTATCGAATTGAGAAAGTGACTCGGTAAGAAGAACGTGTGGTGAAATAGACAAATGAAATTATATAAACAGTTTATTTACTGTCATAACATATGAAAAGCTCGCGCTTGTGAGATATCAACAAATAGCTCACACCAAAGCCTTCACCGTGTATTCACCGGACAGCCCGCTTCCAAGTTGCGCGAACCTATTTCACTGCGCACGTGCTATGAGCGCAGCCCAGCTGTTGAAACCAGTTTTCCCCCGAAAAATCGGGGGAAAATTAGTGAATCGTTTGAACCCCGATTTCGCGCGGTTTTTTTCATCGCGTTATTTTTCAACTTTATAAGTTGAATTTGCATTTTTGATGATTTGTTTCGGTAAGTCCATACCGAAAGGTATCAGAATCTGCAAAGTTGTGTTTTACGTTGCATGTGACCTTTAATATATTTGCTTTATCTTTGCTATCATTGATCAAATTATCGTTATAACCAATCGAAGAAAATTTCTTATAATCTCCATTTTTGTATTTTATATACTTGTTCACTAAAGCCCACAAAAATTTAGAATTACTCCCCTGATTGATCTTATCATCTAAATCAGAAATATATTTTATTTTGGCTACTCTCACAGCAGCTGTTTCGTAGAAGCCTAAACTTTTGCCAATCTATATCATAATTTCGAATCTTTCCTTTCTTATGCTGTCTATTTCTTTTTCTCATAAGTATTAGTACAGCACTATTCATTCATGGATTGTGCCGAGG